GCATATTGAAAATGATGTGCGAATCATCAATAACTCACCACTCAATCCAAAAGAGTGATCCTAAATAAAGCCCTCGCGTACACCTCGTTTCATCACAGAGAAATATGGCACTGACAAACTTTACTGAAGATGAAAACCAGAAAATATTCTTAGAACTGTTCTGCGCGGTGGAGTTTATTAGAGGTGTAGATAGCGAGATTATCTTTCTCTCAGCTATAAATATATTTCTTTCCATCACTGCATTTCTGGGGAACACTCTGATCCTAGTTGCCCTATACAAGGAAACTTCACTTCATCCGCCGTCCAAACTCCTGTATCGTAACCTGGCGATAACTGATCTCTGTGTTGGTATCATTGTGGAGCCAGTGGCTGTGACTTATTGGACTTCTGTTGTGAAAGAAAGATGGGATATTTGCTATTATTCACTTCGGACAGCAGCTTTCTCAGGTTATACTTTGTGTGTAGTGTCTTCATTAACATTGACGGCAATAAGCGTGGACAGACTTCTCGCCTTGTTGCTGGGGCTCAGATACAGACAAGTTGTAACTTTGAGAAGAACGAGTATAACTGTGTTAGGTTTTTAGATTTTGTCCATCGTTGGTGCATCTACCATTATTTGGAGTCTATTTATAACCACATGGTATCTACGCATAGTTACAGCTTTGTGTCTAGTCATTATAAGCTTCGCTTACACAAAAATTTTCTGTACTCTGCGTCATAACCAAATTCATGTTCAGAACCATGTTGCTCAAGGACAACCGAGCCAAGCAATTCCATTGAACATAGCTCGATACAGAAAGGCAGTCTACAGTGCACTGTGGGTGCAGGGAACATTTGTTGTTTGTTATCTGCCGTTTACTATAGCGGTCGCTTTGATGCCTCAAAGAGGGATACCTATATCTGCATATCGTGCTTGGCATTTTACGGTTACCTTAGTTCATTTGAACTCGTCTTTAAATCCCTTGCTGTACTGTTGGAAGATCAGTGAAGTACAACAAGCTGTGAAAGAAACATTAAGGCAACTCTTCGGTCGATCGAGTTAGTTTATTATGCTTTTCAGCTGAAAAATCATACTGTTAAATAACTACAAGTACTCGTTTTCTTTTTCCATGTCTTATCAACTGACGTTTAATTAGGCGAACTTGCTTTAGCAAAGCGAGAACCTAAAACTTTGGCCGTTTTTTTTTTCCGTCGTTCTTCCCCAAATGGTCGGCCATGGTCCCAGAGGTTCCTAGCGGAGACCGAGGAAACTGGGGAGAACAATCATGACGACTTCCGTTGTAATAATAATAATAATAATAATAATAATAATAATAATAATAATAATAATAATAATAATTAACAATAATAATAATAATTAATAATAATAATAAATAATAATTTTATTCAACTTTAAAAAATATGTACATAATTTACAGAAATATTTGGAGTAAGAATTAAGCACTATATAACGTTAAGAATAGTATAAATTGATAAAAATAGCAATCACTGTGTCAATAACGATTTCACAAATACATTCCTTGCGGCTCAGATGCGGTCACTAACTCTTGCAGGCAGTCCAGAGTTTTAAATTAAGTCATTACCAATCCGTCTCTGATATCAAAAGGAAAAACAAGTCAAAAAGAATAATAATAATAAAAATAATATTGATAATAATATTCATTGCTTTTATTGCGCATTTTAACATTGAAAAATATGATCAAATGCGCATAACATTCGAATAAGACTGAAACAAAAGATATATTACATACTCTCTATATACTAAAGCTTAATCATTTGTTAAATTTCCTTCCTAATAGGTAATTTAGCTCATAACAAGTAAGAAATAAAAGTAGAAAATAAAAACCATAGATAGCTCAAGACAGGGCGCTATAGGCCTCTTTAAAATAGAGCGTCTTAATGAGTCTCTTAAACATATCCATAATCATTCTCTTTCCCAATGTAGTCCAGTAAACCGTTCCATATCTTTGGAGCAGTTGCAGTAAATGATCTCTGTCCCTAAGAGTGCATTTGAACTTAGCGATAGGGACTTGCAAAATAACGCCCACATTACTCTGCAGGTTAGAGCAAGAACATCGTTTAATATTTATGAGATAACTTAAATACGCAGGCCCCGGATTGTGAATATCCTTGAAAGAGATCACAGCGATTTTATAGCAAATTCGGAACTTCACCGGTAACCAATGCAGTGCAAGCAGCACTAGGGTAATGTGTAAGTATCTGGGTGTATGAGTGATAAGTCGCGCTGCGGAATTCTGAAGACGTTGCAATTTGGAAAGATACACAGCTGGTACACCATAGAGAAGACCGTTGCAGTTATAAATGCGTGCCATGATCACGCCTTGTACAATGAGCCGTTTGGTGTAAGCAGGCGTCAAGAACCTTCTTATTTGTCTGATATTATGTAGGTGATAGTAGATGGATTGTCAAGTTGTGAAACCCGGGAGTGGAGCACGTTCGTGTTTTGACCTCGGAATCATTCCTAATCATTCATAGCCTGTGTAGCAGGCGCTTGGAAGTAGTGGGCGAAAGAAAGAAAAGACGCGCGCGAGGGAGACACGCGAGGGGTGAGGGAGCAGTGGAAAAGCAGTCAGCGCACAAATTTTTATATACCCTACTACTAGCCGAAGTTTCTTTCCGCTACATATGGTTTTAAGCATTTACGAAGTTTTTCACTTAGTTGCTTCCCATAACAGGCACAACAATTAAAACCATAGTTGCTATTATTAATTATACCTTTTTTCGATTATCTGACCTCAAGTTGGTTAATATAATGCATATGACGCTCGCCTGGGCGGGAAAATGGTTCGATGATGACTTAAGCTTATAAAGCTAACAGTTCGTGTTAATGGAATTTTCTGCCAAATTACTCATACGTCAAGCTTTTAATGTACAGGCCACATGAAAAGCCATTAATTAAAAATCTTCCGTCCAGTTCGTTTCACCTGAGCCTGCATGGCACATGCAGGCTTCATCATAGTTCGAAGTTAGCGTTGAATACTACAAAACTTCTCTGAACCCCTGTCTGGCCCGACAAAGAAGTGCCTACTGACTCACTGCAGCTTTTTAACATCAGCTGACAGAAACACGATTATAATGATATAAACAGCCTTAAGTTATTAGTGATAAACTTGTGCGAATCATATCACTTTCCGCCCAAAATAAAAGAGCAATATTTAAATAAAGCCCTCACTTGCGCCTTATTTGATGATGAGGATGATGATGATGATGATGATAAACTTTATTTCAGTGTCAGGTCTTCTAGCTGGCCATGTAAGGCCTACTAACAGGGGACACTGAATTAAAATACTATCAGCTCTAACTGATTAATATAAAAAAAAATAGTTACAAAGAATAAAATTTACAAAAATATACATCCTAAAAAAATATCGAGAAAACGCATTCGGATTTTTCATATAAAATAATACTTATTGATTAAGAGGTATCTTTTTTGTCTAGAAAATGTCATTTATGTACAACATAGAAAGCAGTTTTTACAGCCCTCTGTTTCAAGATCTACCTTACGAATTTTCTTTTTAAAGCTGTAAATTGATTCTGCATTTTTTGCATCCTTGCTTAGTTGAGACCATATTACTGGGCCCACGTATCTCATGTCTCCCGTGAGTTGATGTGTTGTATCGAGGAATAAAAAAGTCACCAGATTTTCTGAGCCCATAGCGAGGTTTATCTAGCTTAAAAATGTCCTTTATATACGGAGGGCATATATTGTACTTTGCCTTATACATAATTATGGCTATATCCTGCAATCAGCGACAGCCTATAGCTAGTGTCGTGAGTTAAGCTTTTCTCAAGAGCTCATCGTATGAACTTCTCGTATCGCAGTAGACGGCTCTTAACGCTCGCTCTTGTACTCGCTCCATCTTTCTGCTATCCGACGCCCGACAGAAATGCCACACTGTATGACAGTATTAAATTTCAGGCATTATGAAAGAAATGAAAATCTTAAGTTTGGCTGATAATGTTAACATGTTTCTAAGCCTCATCAAAACTCCAACCTTCCTAGATGTGTTTTTACATACCTCTCAAATATGCGTACTAAAACTCAAATTTTCGTCAATGGTCACTCTCAGTAATTTCATTTCAGAGTGACTCTCAATATCAATATACCATATTTATACTGACAAAAATCATCGTTCAATGTTTTGGGTGTAAATTTCCCGAAAGAGTTCTCCTCACTGGAGCAATATCAACATGTTAAAGGTTTTCAAAAGTTTCACAGACGTGTGAAGCTAAGCCGGATGTGCAGCATGTCTCTCCTTGCAATAACGTTTTGAGTATTTACACCCGTTTTGTATTCCAAACGAAAAAGTAGCATAACAGCACCACCGCCTTTGACAACAAAACTTATCAGAAAGCCTCATGGGCTCCAAGCAAGCGAAACCCAACGCTACTAAGAGCGTTCTTGTTTATCCAAAGACTGTTGCGAATCTAGAAGTAGCAAGAGAGACGTCCTTTTGCGTGCGTCAGTTGAGGGGCATAGAAAGGTAACAAAAGAGGCGAAAAGGAAGGAACATATATCTCGAAAGAGAGAGGTGGGAAAACTGTTTCGATCCCTGTGCTTAGTTATTTGGCTTTTACGTAGAAATGCAAGAACACGTGATTAATCATAAGAAATATCATATTTTCTTAAATCGTCTGTTCTTGTTGATCTCAATTTCCTCCATGTTTTTAACTGATCGTGTGTTGTTAGTATACAGCAGTATATACATCAGAGAGTGCACTGTTTTATAATAATGTCATCCGTTTTACATAGAAACAGAAACTTGACATAGTGAACACCTCTATACATTTATGACAGTTTGGGGCGTTAATTTCTTTAATCGAAACGAGTGTCATGATGACGTTTTCATTGTGTCAATCATAACAAACCCGAAATTAAGACGGGGGAGAGGGGTGGGGGGCACTCAAGAGAAGTTTGGTAGGGGGGTGCCGCCGTGGCCTTCAAACCATTGACTCTGTTTAAGACGAAAGTGGTTCATTTCGCTACCCCATCTAAGGGCCTGTTTACATGGAGTGGGACACCCCGGTCTAGCGGGGTTGGTTTCTTTTGTTTTCAAGCTCTGGAGGACACAAAACAAAAGAAACCTACCCCACTAGACCGGGGTCCCCCACTCCATGTAAACAGGCCCTAAGACAAGAGACTTTATTTGATGACTCTGATTCATTTCGTTTTGCATACAGAATTGAGTAATTTTCTCAAACTGAAATCATGGAGCTAAAACTTTTGGTGGAAGAAATTGTTGGCACCACATATATAAACCGCTCACCGTCAACTCCATCCACACTCTTTTAAAGGCCTCCGAGCCAAATAACACCCTATCCAAGACGCTAAATAGTGAAATTGTGTACCATGTTTAAGACTAAAGACCCTGAAAACTATACCCTGTTCAGGGGCACATACCCCTCTAGGCCAAATAAGGGAGTGCACCCCCCGGTGTAAACCAAACAAGTTGGTATGTTTAGACTGTTAAGGCTTCTTGTCTTCATACTTGGCAGGACTAGCTCTTTTTCGATCAAGAAGAAGGGAAAAGAGGCTCTGCTCACAGGATGGCAGAGCCCATGATTGTTAAGTTCGAGGAAATATAAGAGCTGTCAGGGGTCTAGAACGTAACTAAGTACGCATCTACAGGGGAGAGGGAGAGGAAGTTAATAGATCTCAGTTCCTTATGTATATAGTTCTACAAAAATGACGTTTATTTCCTTAGGTTTTTCTAAAAATGTTTGTTATTCGCTTATAACAAAGCTGAAAACAGGGCTCAGGCAATTGAACATATCTGGGCGGATTGATTGGACTCCATGTCTTAAAAGTAGCGCGTGGGAACAACCGATACAAAATTAATGCACAAGTCATATTATAATAAGGTTTGTTTTCTGTCCATTTGAAGCTTTAAGTTATAAGCAAACAAAAACATCACCTGCTTTGCTTTTACTTAGTATTGCAATAATTCAGTAAAACAGGAAGAGAATTAAATTGCCACGCGCTTAGATAATTAGTTTACACAGTATAGATATGGGGAAAAACTCTTGAGAGTAGATGCAGTGCAGTGAAATGGCAGTCAGCGGACAAATCTTAATATACCCTACTACTAGCCGAGGATTCTTTCTGGTGTGAATTTTAAGCATTTACGAAGTTTTTCACTTAGTTGCCTCACATAACAGGCACAAAACTTAAAACCATTGTTGCTATCACTAATTATACCTTTTTTCGGCTATCTGGCCGCAAGTTGGTTAATAATGCATATAACACTCGCCTGGGCGGGAAAATGATTCGATGATGGCTCAAGCTTATAAACTTAACAGTTTGTGTTAATGGAATTTTCTGTCAAATTACTCATACGTCAAGCTTTTAATGGACAGACAACATGAAAAGCCATTAAAATCTTCCGTCCAGTTCGTTTCACCTGAGCCTGGCACATGCAGGCTGCATCATAGTTCGAAGTTGGCTTGAACAACTACAAATTAAACTTTTCTGAAACCCCGTCTAGCCCGACAAAAAAGTGCGTACTGTCTTCTGACTGACTGCAGCTTTTTACCATAAGCTGACTGAAACACGATGATATTTATATAAACAGCCTTAAGTCATTAGTGATAAACTTGTGAGAATCATAAAAGCCCTCACTTGCACCTCATTTCATCGCAGATGAATATGGCTCAGACAAACGTTACTGAAGATGAAAACCAGAAAACATTCATGGAACTGTTCTGCTTGGCGGAATTTATCAGAGGTGTAGATGGCGAGCTTATATTTCTTTCAGCTCTTAAAATATTTTTCTTTCCATTACTGCATTTCTGGGGAACACTCTGATCCTAGTTGCCCTACACAAGGAAACTTCACTTCATCCGCCGTCCAAACTTCTGTATCGTAACCTAGCGAAAACTGATCTCTGTGTTCGTATCATTTTGGATCCTTTGGCTGTGACTTATTTGACTTCTGTTGTAAAGGAAAGATGGGATATTTGCTATTACTCACATTTTGCAGAAGTTTTCTCAGGTTATACTTTGTGTGTAGTGTCTTTAGTAACACTGACTGCAATAAGTGTGGACAGACTTCTCACCTTGTTGCTTGGGCTCAGATACAGACAAGTTGTAACTTATAGAAAAACATGTATAACTGTAATTAATTTATGGATTTTTTCCATCGTCGGTGCATCTACTATGTTTTGGAACCGTCTTTTAACTTCATGGTGTCAATACATAATTATAGCTCTGTGTCTAATCACCACAATCTTCGCTTACGCAAAAATTTTCTTTTCTCTGCGTCATAATCAAATTCATGTTCAGAACCATGCTGCTCAAGGACAACCGAGCCAAGCAATCACACTAAACATAGCTCGATACAGAAAGGCGGTTTACAGTGCAATGTGGGTCCAGGGAACATTGGTTGCATGTTATTTGCCGTTTGGTTCGTGGTAGCTTTGACACCTCAACAAGGGATGACTTTATCGGTATACCTCGTTAGACGATTTACTGTTTCTTTACTCTATTTAAATTCGTCATTGAACCCGTTCTTGTACTGTTGGAAGATCAGGGAAGTAAGGCAAGCTGTAAAAAAAACGTTAAGGCAAATATTCTGTCGATCGAGTTAGTTTACTATGGTTTTCAACTTAAATTCGTCAGTGCCAAAAACACTAGACTACACTTAAAACGAATCATACACATGTAATATTTAAGTTCTATTGCGCCTTAAAAGGTTCAGTCTTTGGCGGAAAGAGCGGTATTAATTAACCCCCCCCCCTCCCTCTTTATACATTACAAGGAAAATTAATCATAATAAATGAATTCATATGTATTTGCTTGAATTTATTGTACGTAAAATTAGCAATAAAACAAATTTTAACCAACGTGATAAGTACAAAAATTAAAGTACATCATTTTTGTTGTTTCATGGGATTTTAATGGCTCAGTTCACTTAACGAAGAGTCATTTTTACCTGATAAATTTAGAGAGATGACAAAACAAACAAACCCCGCTTTTTTTGATAATGATAGCATTAAGCAATTGACCACACTTTCTATGGGTTTACCGGCGTAATAACCCACGCGGGATGTTGGAAAAACACGAGAAAAGTTTGTAAATCACTCGCCTTCGGCTCGTGATTTACAAGCATTTCGAATGTTCTCCCAACATCCCAAGTGGGTTATCACGCCGATAAACCCATAGAAAGTGAGGTCTATTGCTTTTATAAAATAACTTTAAGTAAAACTATGAGTTTACCGGCACAATAAACCATAGGTTTCTGGCCAATCAGAACGCGCGTACTATTTTAATTATTTTTTTTTAAATAATATTAATATTAAATAATCTTTATAGAGGAAGCTCTAGTCACGTTTAGTGGTTTTTAGGGAGGTCCACACGAAGATTAAAAAATGTGAGAACTACTAATTACAATCAGTCTTAAAAATTTAACTATTGCTCAAATATAAAAAGCTAACGGATAAAAATTTAAAAGGGCAAGAAGGCTAAACAACTAACCCCACTAGACCGGGGTCCCCCACTCCATGTAAACAGGCCCTAAGACAAGAGACTTTATTTGATGACTCTGATTCATTTCGTTTTGCATACAGAATTGAGTAATTTTCTCAAACTGAAATCATGGAGCTACAACTTTTGGTGGAAGAAATTGTTGGCACCACATATACAGACCGCTCACCGTCAACTCCATGCACACTCTTTTAAAGGCTTCGGATACAAAAAAACACCCTGTCCAAGACGCTAAATAGTGAAATTGTGTACCATGTTTAAGACTAAAGACCCTGATAACTATACCCTGTTCAGGGGCACATACCCCTCTAGGCCAAATAAGGGAGTGCACCCCCCGGTGAAAACCAAACAAGTTGGTATGTTTAGACTGTTAAGGCTTCTTGTCTTCATACTTAGCAGGACTAGCTCTTTCTCGATCAAGAAGAAGGGAAAAGAGGCTCTGCTCACAGGATGGCAGAGCCGATGATTATTAAGTTCGAGGAAATATAAGAGCTGTCAGGGGTCTAGAACGTAACTAAGTACGCATCTACAGGGGAGAGGGAGAGGAAATTAATAGATCTCAGTTCCTTATGTATATAGTTCTACAAAAATGACGTTTATTTCCTTAGGTTTTTCTAGAAATGTTTGTTATTCGCTTATAACAAAGCCGAAAACAGGGCTCAGGCAATTGAACATATCTGGGCGGATTGATTGGACTCCATGTCTTAAAAGTAGCGCGTTGGAACAACCGATACAAAATTAATGCACGAGTCATATTATAATAAGGTTTGTTTTCTGTCCATTTGAAGCTTTAAGTTATAAGCAAACAAAAACATCACCTGCTTTGCTTTTACTTAGTATTGCAATAATTCAGTAAAACAGGACGAGAATTAAATTGCCATGCGCTTAGACAATTAGTTTACACAGTATAGATATGGGGAAAAACTCTTGAGAGTAGATGCAGTGCAGTGAAATGGCAGTCAGCGGACAAATCTTAATATACCCTACTACTAGCCGAGGATTCTTTCTGGTGTGAATTTTAAGCATTTACGAAGTTTTTCACTTAGTTGCCTCACATAACAGGCACAAAACTTAAAACCATTGTTGCTATCACTAATTATACCTTTTTTCGGCTATCTGACCGCAAGTTGGTTAATAATGCATAAAACGCTCGCCTGGGCGGGAAAATGATTCGATGATGACTCAAGCTTATAAACTTAACAGTTTGTGTTAATGGAATTTTCTGTCAAATTACTCATACGTCAAGCTTTTAATGGACAGACAACATGAAAAGCCATTAAAATCTTCCGTCCAGTTCGTTTCACCTGAGCCTGGCACATGCAGGCTGCATCATAGTTCGAAGTTGGCTTGAACAACTACAAATTAAACTTTTCTGAAACCCCGTCTAGCCCGACAAAAAAGTGCGTGCTGTCTTCTGACTGACTGCAGCTTTTTACCATAAGCTGACTGAAACACGATGATATTTATATAAACAGCCTTAAGTTATTAGTGATAAACTTGTGAGAATCATATCACTTCCCTCAAAATTAAAAGAGCGATATTTAAATAAAGCCCTCACTTGCACCTCATTTCATCGCAGATGAATATGGCTCAGACAAACGTTACTGAAGATGAAAACCAGAAAACATTCATGGAACTGTTCTGCTTGGCGGAATTTATCAGAGGTGTAGATGGCGAGCTTATATTTCTTTCAGCTCTTAATATTTTTCTTTCCATTACTGCATTTCTGGGGAACACTCTGATCCTAGTTGCCCTACACAAGGAAACTTCACTTCATCCGCCGTCCAAACTTCTGTATCGTAACCTAGCGATAACTGATCTCTGTGTTGGTATCATTTTGGATCCTTTGGCTGTGACTTATTTGACTTCTGTTGTAAAGGAAAGATGGGATATTTGCCATTACTCACATTTTGCAGAAGTTTTCTCAGGTTATACTTTGTGTGTAGAGTCTTTAGTAACACTGACTGCAATAATTGTGGACAGACTTCTCACCTTTTTGCTTGGGCTCAGATACAGACAAGTTGTAACTTATAGCAAAACATGTATAACTGTAATTAATTTATGGATTTTTTCCATTGTCGGTGCATCTACTATCTTTTGGAACCGTCTTTTAACTTCATGGTGTCAATACATAATTATAGCTTTGTGTCTAATCACCACAATCTTCGCTTACGCAAAAATTTTCTTTTCTCTGCGTCATAATCAAATTCATGTTCAGAACCATGCTGCTCAAGGACAGCCGAGCCAAGCAATCACACTAAACATAGCTCGATACAGAAAGGCGGTGTACAGTGCAATGTGGGTGCAGGGAACATTGGTTGCATGTTATTTGCCGTTTGGTATAGTGGTAGCTTTGACACCTCAACAAGGGATGACTTTATCGGTATACCTCGTTAGACGATTTACTGTTTCTTTACTCTATTTAAACTCGTCATTGAACCCGTTCCTGTACTGTTGGAAGATCAGGGAAGTAAGGCAAGCTGTAAAAAAAACGTTAAGGCAAATATTCTGTCGATCGAGTTAGTTTACTATGGTTTTCAACTTAAAATTCCTCAGTGCCAAAAACACTAGACAGTCCTTAAAACGAATCATACACTTGTAATATTTAAGTTCTATTGCGCCTTAAAAGGTTCAGTCTTTGGCGGAAAGAGCGGTATTAATTAACACCCCCCTTCCCCATCCCCCCCCCCCCCCTTTATACATTACAGGGAAAATTAATCATAATAAATGAATTCATATGTATTTGCTTGAATTTATTGTACGTAAAATTAACAATAAAACAAATTTTAACCAACGTGATAAGTACAAAAATTAAAGTACATTTTTGTTGTTTCATGGGATTTTACTGGCTCAGTTCACTTAACGAAGAATCATTTTTACCTGATAAATTTAGAGAGATGACAAAACAAACAAACCCCGCTTTTTTTGATAATGATAGCATTAAGCAATTGACCACACTTTCTATGGGTTTACGGGCGTAATAACCCACGCGGGATGTTGGAAAAACACAAGAAAAGTTTGTAAATCACGAGCCGAAGGCGAGTGATTTACAAGCATTTCTAATGTTCTCCCAACATCCCAAGTAGGTTATCACGCCGATAAACCCATAGAAAGTGAGGTTTATTGCTTTTATAAAATAACTTTAAGTAAAACTATGAGTTTACCGGCACAATAAACCATAGGTTTTTGGCCAATCAGAACGCGCGTACTATTTTAATTAGTTATTTTATAAAATAATATTAATATTAAATAATCTTTATAGAGGAAGCTCTAGTCACATTTAGTGGTTTTCAGGGAAGTCCACACCAAGATTAAACAATGTAAGAACTACTAATTACAATCAGTCTTAAAAATTTAACTATTGCTCAAATATAAAAAGCTAACGGATAAAAATTTAAAAGGGCAAGAAGGCTAAACAACTAAAAGAAAGGCTAAGTAAAAAATATACGACCGAACTAAAATATTAACTATCATTCAAACACAAAGGCTTTCGACTAAAATATTTGGCTCTTAGGTTGCGCTTTAAAATTTTCCATGGCATGGCTCTCCTTAAAAGATTGGGGAGACTTGCCCAGTCACTAATGCATATACATAACTCGTTCATTAGATCATAACCCCTTTCACATTGTGGACTGTACGTTTGACCTTTGCGTTAACCTGAAACCTCTCCATGTTCCCTTATGCGCCTGGTTATGAAGCAGGGAAATGTGTGTAGTGAACTAGCGGACAATAATCAAAGAGAAGGTTCTTCTCGTGAGCAATACCGTACGGGAAAAAAGAGGAGAAGAGGAATTTAACCATTCTTGTATCCCCAAAGACGCATCCTACCAGCAGAGTCTTTCTTTCGCTTGCTTGATTTTAGCGTATTCTAGAAAGACTGCACCATTCGAGTAAGATCTTTTTGACCATGCGCTGATCGTTGCTAGGATACAGCTCCGAACACAGGCCTAAAGCCGTACGCTGAGTGCAGCAGGCTCAGTTACGATCAGAGGTTTATCAACTGAAACGAATGCTCGCATTAGAAAAACCAGTTTGACGAGGGAAAACGTGATTGACCAGTCCAAACGTTCTTTGACGCGATTCGGGCAAAGCCTCTTTTTCTCTAGCTCTTCCTCGATCAAGTAGAAGCGAACAAGAGGCTCTGCTCAGAGGATGGCAAAGCTGTTGATTATTAAGTTCGAAGAAATATAAGAACTGTCAGGGGTCTAGAACGTAACTAAGTACGCGTCTACAGGGGAGAGGGAGAGGAAGCTAATAGATCTCAGTTCCCTAAAAAAAAAAATATATATATATATATATATATATAGTGCTACAAAAATGGTATTTAGTTCCGTGGGTTTTCCTTGAAATGTTAGTTATTCGCTTATAGTAAAGCCGAAAATTGAGCTTAGGTAATAGAACATGTGTGGGCTGATTGACTGGACTGCCTGTCTTAAAAGTAGCGCGTGGGAACAACTGATACAAGATCAATACACGTGTCAGTAATAATCCAACCTAATTAAGGTTTTTACGTTGATTTCTGTCTAATTGAAGCTTTAAGTTATAACCAAGTCAAAGACATCACCTGCTTTGCTTTTGGTTAACAGTGCAATAATTCAGGAAAACAGGAAGAACTACGAATTAAGTCAACATGCGCTCAGATAATTATATATTAGTATTAGTTTACGCAATATAGATATGGGGAATGACATTCGATCGACTCCTGATAATTGAAACCTTCAAGGGAAATAGAAACAAGTTCCAATTATCGGGAGTTCGAGTTATTGTGGGTAAAATTATTTAGAAAACGATCTGAAGGGAAATGAAAATTGCCCCGAGTTAGCGGGAAGTTCGAGTTATAGAGGGTTGCCAGGAGTCGACCGTATTAAAACAGCTGTGTATTATTATGGAAATAACGTACTTGCGAGAATAGCTTGCAAATAAATGTAATGCAGTGAAGTGGCAGTCAGCGGACAAATATTAATATACCCTATACTAATAGAAGCCGAGGTTTCTTTCCGGAATGGTTTTTAGCATTTAAGAAGTTTTTCACTTAGTTGTCTCCCATAACAAAAACATAAAATCAAAACCATTTTTGCTATCACTAATTAATTATACCTCTTTTCGGCTATCTGCCCCAAGTTGGTTAATAATGCATATGACACTCACCTGTAATGTACACTAAGTTGTTATACGTCAACCTTGCAATGGACAGGTAACATGAAAAGTCATTAAAATCACTGATCAGTCCAGTTCGTTTCACCTGAGCCTGGCACAGGGCACATCATAGTTCGAAGTTAGGTTGAATAACTACAAAACTTTTCTGAAACCCTGGCACCGTATCAGCCCGACGAAGACGTGCGTACTGTTTTCTGCAGACTGCGAATTCGAATCATCAATATTACTTTCCACTCAACTGATCTAAAAGAGCGATATGTAAATCATGATAAAGCCCTGACGTACACCTCGTTTCATCGATCACATCCGAGAAATATGGCACTGACAAACTTTACTGAAGATGAAAACCAGAAAACATTCATAGAACTGTTCTGCTCGGCGGAGTTTATTAGAGGTGTAGATAGCGAGCTTATATTTCTTTCAGCTCTAAGTATTTTTCTTTCCATTACTGCATTTCTGGGGAACACTCTGATCCTAGTTGCTCTACACAGGGAAACTTCACTTCATCCGCCGTCCAAACTTCTGTACCGTAACCTAGCGATAACTGATCTCTGTGTTGGTATCATTGTGGAGCCTTTGTATGTGACAAATTGGACTTCTGTCTTGAAAGAAAGATGGGATATTTGCTATTATTCACTTCGGACAGCAGCTTTCTCAGGTGATACTTTCTGTATAGTGTCTGCATTAACATTGACGGCAATAAGCGTGGACAGACTTCTCGCCTTGTTACTGGGGCTCAGATACAGACAAGTTGTAACTTTGAAAAGAACGAGAATAACTGTGATAGGTTTTTGGATTTTGTCCATCGTTGGTGCATCTACTTTTATTTGGAATATACTTATTTCCACATGGTATCAATACATAGTTGCAGCTTTTTGTCTAGTCACTACAATCTTCGCTTACACAAAAATTTTGTGTACTCTGCGTCATAACCAAATTCATTTTCAGAACCATGTTGCTCAAGGACAACAGAGCCAAGCAATTCCACTGAACATAGCTCGATACAGAAAGGCAGTCTACAGTGCACTGTGGGTGCAGGGAACATTTGTTGTTTGTTATCTGCCGGTTACTATAGCGGCCGCTCTGATGCCTAAAAGAGGGATACCTATATCCGCATATCGTGCTTGGCATTTTACGGCTACTTTAGTTTACTTAAACTCGTCTTTAAATCCCTTGCTTTACAGTTGGAAGATCAGTGAAGTAAGAGAAGCTGTAAAAGAAACATTAAGGCAACTCTTCTGTAGATCGAGTTAGTTTATTATGCTTTTCAGCTGAAAATCACACTGTTAAATAACTACAAGTACTCGTTTTCTTTTGTCATGTCTTATCAACTGCCGTTTAATTAGTCAAACTTGCTTTAGCAGAGCGAGAATCTAAAACTTCGGCCGTTTTTTTTCCGTCGGTCTTCCTCAAGTGGGCAGCCATGGTCCCAGAGGTTCCTAGCGGAGACCGAGGAAACTGGGGATGACAATCGTGACGACTTCCGTTGTAATAATAATAATAGTAATAATAATATTCATTCCTTTTATTGCGCATTTTATCATTGAAAATATGATCAAATGCGCTTAACACTTGAATAAGACTGAAACAAAAGATATATTGCATACTCTCTATATACTAAAGCTTAAGCAGTTGTTACATTTCCTTCCTAATAGGCAATTTAGCATAACTCATAACAAGTAAAAAGTAAAAAGAGAAGATTAAAGTAGAAATTAAAAAACCACGATAGCTCAAGACAGGTCGCATTAGGCCTCTTTAAAATAGTGCCTCTTAATAATATCCAAAATCATTGTCCTAATATGGCCCGGTAAACCGTTCCATATCTTTGGAGCAGCTGCAGTAAATAATCTGTCCCCAAAACTGCATTTGAACTTAGCGATAGGGTCTTGCAAAATAACGCCCACATTACTCCGCAGGTTAGAGCGAGAACATCATTTTATATTTATGAGATTACTTAAATACGCAGGCCCCAGATTGTAAATAGCCTTGAAAGAGATCACAGCGGTTTTATAGCAAATTCGGAACTTCACCGGTAACCAATGCAGTGCAAGCAGCACTAGGGTAATGTGTAAGTATCTGGGTGTATGGGTGATAAGTCGCGCTGCGGAATTCTGAAGACGTTGCAATTTGGAAAGATACACAGCTGGTACACCATAGAGAAGACCGTTGCAATAATAAATGCGTGCCATGATCACACCTTGTACAATGAGCCGTTTGGAGGAAGCAAGCGTCAAGAACTTCCTTATTTGTCTTGCATTATGCAGGTGATAGTAGATTGATTGTCAAGTTGTGAAACCCGGGAGTCGGAACACGTTCGTGTTTTGGACCTAGGAATCATTCCTAGCCTGCGTACCAGGCGCTTGGAAGTAGTGGGCAAAAGAAAGAAAAGGCGCGCGCGAGGGAGACACGCGAGGGGTGAGGGAGCAGTGGAAAAGCAGTCAGCGCACAAATTTTTATATACCCTACTACTAGCCGAAGTTTCTTTCCGCTATGGTTTTAAGCATTTACGAAGTTTTTCACTTAGTTGCTTCCCATAACAGGCACAAAAATTAAAACCCTTGTTGCTATCATTAATTATACCTTTTTTCCGCTATCTGACCTCAAGTTGGTTAATAATGCATATAACGCTCGCTTTGGCGGGAAAATGATTCGATGATAACTCAAGTTTATAAACTTAACAGTTTGTGTTATTGGAATTTTCTGCCAAATTACTCATACGTCAAGCTTTTGATGTACAGGCAACATGAAAAGCCATTAATTAAAAATCTTCGTACAGTTCGTTTCATCTGAGCCTGCATGGCACATGCAGGCTGCATCATAGTTTGAAGTTAGCTTGAACACTACAAAACTTCTCTGAACCCCCGTCTCGCCCGACAAAGAAGTGCGTACTCTTTTCTGACTGACTGAAGCTTTTTAACATCAGCTGACAGAAACACGATGATAATGATATCAACAGCCTTAAGTTATTAGTGATAGACTTGTGAGAATCATATCACTTTCCGCCCAAATTAAAAGAGCGATATTTAAATAAAGCCCTCAACTTAGGGTTGTTTTCTCTCTATTTGAAGCTTTAAGTAAATACATCACCTGCTTTGCTTTTGGTTAACACTGTAAAAAATGAAATTACCAAGCTCTTAAATAATTAATTCACACAATATAGAAACTGTGGAGAAATACTGCGTGGAACATTCGACTGGTTACAGTGCAGTGAAATGGCAGTCAGCGGACATGCAAATTTTAATTATACCCTACTACTAGCCGGGGTTTTTTTCCGATATGGTTTTAAGCATTTACGAGCTGTTTCACTTTTTGCCTCTCATAACAGAGAAGAAAATTAAAACCGTTGCTGCCATCACGATTATACCTTTTTACAGCCATCTGACCTCAAGTTGGTTATTAACGCATATAACGCTCGCCTGGGAAAATGGTGATTGCCCAAGCTTGTAAACTTCGCAGCTTGTGTTATCTCTTCAGTTATTAAAATTTTCTGCCAAATTAATGCAACATAAGGTGTGGAACGTCAAGCTCGCAATAGACAGGCAACATGAAAAGTCGTTAAAATCGCACGTCGAGTTAGTCACCTGAGCCTGGCCGATAGGCTACATCATAGTTCTAGGTTATCTTGAACAACAACAAAACGTTTCTGAACCACCGGGAATTTTGTCTGGCCCGAAAAAGACGGGCGTACAGTTTTTCGGCAGTTCCCGTGAACCGCAAACGTCAAGAACTCACGTGACCAGGGCCTTGTCGTCAGATTTGCGGTTTGAGGTTCACGTTTGTACGATTAGACCACGCATCGGAGATAAGTGGTTTATCTCAAGGTTTTTTGCATCCTAAAACATCACAATTCCACGTTTAATAAGAAGAAATATGACTGTCTAGAGCTCTTTTCCTTATTGATTATCGAATTCTATGTCAAAAATAGTTCAAATAATTTTGAAGGCAATTTCTTAGCTAAAATAGAAGTAAGTGGATGATTGAATGAAAACAAACATGGCAGCCGCGAGCTACCACCCGCGAATCATAAGCACCTAATAAGGGCAGACAAGTAACGTGAAACCGTTGAGCGCAAAAAGCAGTTTGTCGTTTGCAGTAAGATGACCAAACCTCAATCTTAAGGTTTCTATTAATGAAAACACCCGGCCCCAGTTGTTCCAAAGCTGGATAGCGCTATCCATTGGATAAATCACTATCCAGCGGATAAGTATTTGGGAAATCCACTGGATAGAGAATTATCCACCGGATAGCGCTGTCCACCTTTTGAACTACTGGAGCCAGAAGAATTACCGCGGATCCAACCTTCCGTTATTAGTGATAAACACCGCCCTCCCCCCCCCGAAGGTGGGCGAATCATATCCTTTCCACCCAACTAAATTAAGTGATGACTGAATAAAGCCGTCACTTACCTAATAGCTTATGACATTTCCGTTTTAGAATATATTGGGGTATCAGTTATAGTTTTGTTAAATATAATTAGTTAGATTTGCCGTTTAAGGAAACGAATAAATTGTTGTTGTTATAATTGTATTTACAGATTTTCACCACACAAAATTATATCTTTCTCAAAATCTCAGCCTGGGGTTTATTCTTAAAAAATTTCTTAAGATTTCGCAAATTTTAGCCTCGATATTCTTATAAAATATATCCTTATAGAAAAAAAGAGTGTATTAGCATATTGAAAATGATGTGCGAATCATCAATAACACACCACTCAATCCAAAAGAGTGATCCTAAATAAAGCCCTCGCGTACACCTCGTTTCATCACAGAGAAATATGGCACTGACAAACTTTACTGAAGATGAAAACCAGAAAACATTCATAGAACTGTTCTGCGCGGCGGAGTTTATTAGAGGTGTAGATAGCGAGCTTATCTTTCTCTCAGCTATAAATATTTTTCTTTCCATCAGTGCATTTCTGGGGAACACTCTGATCTTAGTTGCCCTATACAAGGAAACTTCACTTCATCCGCCGTCCAAACTCCTGTATCGTAACCTGGCGATAACTGATCTCTGTGTTGGTATCATTGTGCAGCCTTTGTATGTGACAAATTGGACTTCTGTCGTGAAAGAAAGATGGGATATTTGCTACTTTTCTTTTCGGACAGCAGCTTTCTCAGGTTATACTTTGTGTGCAGTATCTTTATTAACAGTGACTGCGATAAGCGTGGACAGACTTCTCGCCTTGTTGCTGGGGCTCAGATACAGACAAGTTGTAACTTTGAGAAGAACGAGTATAACTGTGATAGGTTTTTGGATTTTGTCCATCGTTGGTGCATCTACCATTATTTGGAGTCTATTTATAATTACATGGTGTCTACGCATAGTTACAGGTTTTTGCGTAGCCACTATAATCTTCGCTTACACAAAAATTTTCTGTACTCTGCGTCATAACCAAATTCATTTTCTGGTTGCTCAAGGACATCCGAGCCAGGCAATTCCACTGAACATAGCTCGATATAGAAAGGCAGTGTACAGTGCACTGTGGGTGCAGGGAACACTTGTTGTTTGTTATCTGCCGATTACTATAGCGGTCGCTTTGATGCCTCAAAGAGGGATACCTATATCTGCATATCGTGCTTGGCATTTTTCGGCTACCTTAGTTTATTTAAACTCGTCTTTAAATCCCTTGCTGTACTGTTGGAAGATCAGTGAAGTAAGAGAAGCTGTAAAAGAAACATTAAGGCAACTCTTCGGTCGATCGAGTTAGTTTATTATGCTTTTCAGCTGAAAAATCATACTGTTAAATAACTACAAGTACTCGTTTTCTTTTGTCATGTCTTATCAACTGACGTTTAATGAGGCGAACTTGCTTTAGCAAAGCGAGAACCTAAGACTTTAGCCGTTTTCTTTTTTCGTTGGTCCCCAAATAGTCGGCCATGGTCCCAGAGGTTCCTAGCGGAGACCGAGGAAACTGGGGATAACAATCGTGACGACTTTTGTTGTAATAATAATAATAATAATAATAATAATAATAATAATAATAATAATAATAATAATAATTAACAATAATAATAATAAATAATAATAATAAATAATAATTTTATTCAACTTTAAAAAATATGTACATAATTTACAGAAATATTTGGAGTAAGAATTAAGCACTATATAACATTAAGAATAGTATAAATTGATAAAAATAGCAATCACTGTGTCAATAACGATTTCACAAATGCATTCCTTGCGGCTCAGATGCGGTCACTAACTCTTGCAGGCAGTCCAGAGTTTTAAATTAAGTCATTACCAATCCGTCTCTGATATCAACAGGAAAAACAAGTTTAAAAGAATAATAATAATAATAATAATAATAATAATAATAATAATGATAGTAATAATAATATTCATTGCTGTTATTGCGCATTTTAACATTGAAAAATATGATCAAGTGCGCATAACATTCGAATAAGACTAAAACAAAAGATATATTACATACTCTCTATATAATAAAGCTTAATCATTTGTTACATTTCCTTCTTCCTAATAGGTAATTTAGCTCATAACAAGTAAGAAGTAAAAATAGAAGATAAAAGTAGAAAATAAAAACCGTAGATAGCTCAAGACAGGGCGCTATAGGCCTCTGAAAAATAGTGCGTCTTAATGAGTCTCTTAAACATATCCAAAATCATTCTCTTTCCCAATGTAGTCCGCTAAACCGTTCCATATCTTTGGAGCAGTTGCAGTAAATGATCTCTGTCCCTAGCTAAGAGTGCATTTGAACTTAGCGATAGGGTCTTGCAAAATAACGCACACATTACTCTGCAGGTTAGAGCAAGAACATCGTTTAATATTTATGAGATTACTTAAATACGCAGGCCCCAGATTGTGAATAGCCTTGAAAGAGATCACAGCGATTTTATAGCAAATTCGGAACTTCACCGGTAACCAATGCAGTGCAAGCAGCACTAGGGTAATGTGTAAGTATCTGGGTGTATGGGTGATAAGT